GCAGATGAGGTTATAAGGCGTTAGGGTTTGATCTGTGACCAGAAAACACCTGATAAGGGATTTACTTTTCCACTGCTATTAGAATGGCTATCACAGTGTTTCCCACCTTTTGAGACAGTGACTTTCCAGAGCCACCAGGCTGCTGCCTGTCACAGTGGAGCTGACTTAGCTTCAGTCAGTGCTCCTTCCTTTTGGCTACTTCTAAATTCAAGAAAGAGCAAAAGAATTGGCGTGATCCTCCTGATTATTGTTCTATCTATATAGTAGTACTGAAGAAGGAAAAAACTCTTTTTTCCCTCTCTCTGCTTGGATGCTCTGAAAGCAGTTTGGTGCAGAACGGGTATCAGACAGGCAGTGGGAGATATGGTAGGTTTGAGCTCTAAAACACCCAATCTGCTCTTCCTAGTAGGCCTGAGGTTTCCTCTGGAGTGCTAAGAGCTGGGGATTAGGAGCACTTGTTCTCTTTAACTGAAAAAGTTTCACCCTACAAAGCAAGCCTTTCTTGGTATAACCCGGGGAGGGAATTTAACATACTTGTACAGGTATATATCACAGAAAATAAACCAGAAGATGAAGCCTTTTGCAGTTTAATATGTTATTTAGGAAGAGGATTTTAAAGATGCTCTGCTCTAGAATAAAAGAGCCTGTGCTGGTAAAATGATATCGCTGCAAATCTGTCAGTGTAACAGTTAATGCTTTTCCACGAGGAGGTGGCCTTAGGCATTTAGCAGGAATTTGCAAAGGAGCCTAAGGCCTGATATACACTTGAAACTCAATGGGATTTAGGTGCCTAAATGCATTAGGCTGCTTGGAAAATCCCAGCCTTTGAAGTTAAAATAGGCACTGACAAAACCCGCCTGTCCTTGGCTGCAGCAAACGCAGGCAGCTCAAGGAGCAGAGCTAGGCCAGCTTGCACCCGCTGGGGACCTGGCCATCCGCCGCCGTGCTCTCACTTGTGTCCTTGTCCCATGCTGCCCTCCTTGCACTCCTGCTGTCTAGAGACACCTTCTGGAAGAGGCAGTACTCATGCAAACCAAATACTGCTCAAAATATCCAAAATATTAAAAATAACCCCACACATCTTGGGCATCCCAGATTTGGACTGTCTTTTTCAGGGCACTTGCAGGTCCAGGTTAATGCTCCCAGGATGGCAAACACTCCACTGTTTTGCACCTAAAGGAAAGCAATGGAGAGTGGCCACCAAAGGCAACAGAGAGGGTCCATCCCTGTGCAGGTCCAGGAGGGCTCCATCCCTAATGTCTTCTGCCCCCTTCCTAACTGCAGCGTGGACCTCTGAACCATTTTGGCTTGAAGTCCTCCACCAGTGGTTTGCTCATAGTCATGGCTACTTGCATGGAAATGATTGTGTCTGCTTTACTGGAGATATCTACCCTGTGAGTGTGTATGAAGAAAACATTAAAAATGTCCCTTTTATTGGAAAGAATCTTAGGGTATTTGAAGTTGGAGAACTCATCTTCATTATTTCTCTTTAAAGTTACTTATGAATTGAGAATTGCTTGGCTCGTATTTCTCTTTTATTTGGCATTCCCCCAGGCTAAAGCGTTGTCTATCTTACAGATTAGGTTACTTTTTATGGGGTCCCTGCTATTATATTTCACCTCTAACTTTGTTAGTTTGTGTTTTATATTAAATTATGTTGAATAAAATGTGCAACTCAAGGACATTTTTCAGCTTCACCCTGAAATGAGGTTCCTAATGCTGTTTCTGGGTCTGTCCTGTAGCCCAGCCTATGGCGATAGCACTGGCTATGCAAGAAGGGCAGCAGAGGAGGGTACATGTTAACCAAGAACTCTGCAAGATGAAGCTGCAGGAGAATTGTGCCTGCAAAACTGGTCGGTTCATGTACAGTGATTTTTTCGGATGCATCTCTTTAGAAATGGGTTCTAATAATATTGACATCATCACAAGATAAGATCCAGGACTAGTTAAATCACAGCCTCGTAACTCAGTGCTCCTTTGGGGATTAGAAGAAGACGCTGAGCTGTCACTCTAAAGCTGATCATGGGCTCGTTTAACTATGTCATCCCATAAGACAGTCCTTTCAATTATGTCAACCTGTCTGCTCTCCCTAGACTCTAATTTTAGAGCAGCAGTAGCTAATATTCTTGGAAAACTGATCCGCCTCTACAGATCTCTCTTCTCCGTCTGCTGCAGTTAACGGAGTATCCTGTGGGGAGATTGGACTGCTTGACTTCCCCTCCTGTAATAAACCTAATAAAAATAGGTACCATTAGGTTCCTTTGTGTGTGGTCTGTTTAAGACACTTATCCAAGCTATGTAATGGAGATGTCACATCTCCTCCGCAGAGGGATCTGGCAGCACCACAGGGTTATTGCAATAAAAATAAAGCTCAGTTTTAAAAGGCTGGTACAAAATTATGGGCCGAAAAGAAGGACAATGGGATGGGAGTACAGAGACCTGAAAGAGGTAAATGTGAGCTGGTGCTACTGCATGTTAATGCTTCAGGGATGGCTCCACTGCTGCGGTACAGAACTCAGCTGCTTCCCCGGGCAGGGGCCATGAGAACCGGCAGGCAATGGGAAGGCCACTGCCCCCATGGGTCCCTATGGACTTGGAACCACTTGTGTCTGCCCAATGTTACTCGGAGGGACTCAGGGTGCACAAGGTAGCTGGACTCAGCTTGTTTGAGGCATGGGCATCTCCGGGGGAGCTGTAATGCAGCTTGGTGGGAAGGATATAGACCTTGCCTGGAGAGGACAACAGCCCCAGGTGCCTCCTGGCTCCTTGCAGTGTGACCCTTATGGTGGTGACAGCTGGAGAGAGAAGAACTGCTGCAAACCCTCCTGGTGTAACAGAAAGTTGGTTAGGCAAAACCCTCGTGGCAGAAGGAGTTCTTCCTTTCGCATCGTGTCCATCACGGCATTCAAAAGCAGCAAGGACTTTTTTCACCTGCCCTATAGATCTCCAGACAATCACCTTGATAGGGGGACAGGGACAGCCTTGGAGGCATTTAATCTGGCACAGAATGACCAAGAGGACATCCCAGTCTCTGTAGAAGAGGAAGAGAAGGACAAAGCCAGAGCAGAGCCAAGGGAAAAACAATGCAATAAATAAATAAATAAACAGAACAAAACCAAGCAACCACGAAAAGGAGGCGTAAAAGGGAGGAAGGGGGCAGAGGGACTATGCAGATGCTGGGGAATGGGGTCAGCCCACCATCCCACTCAACAGATCCTCTGCCATGGCAAAGCCCAAGGCTTCTCTTTGCAGACATTATATAAAATCCAGACATAGCCTCATGCTGCTGTGGAGCGATATCACCCCCAGACTCCAGCAAGTTAGTTACATATAGCTTTCCTTTCATAAATCCATGTTGGCTGCCCCTAATCAAATTCTGCTTCTCAAGCAATTTCCCTTGCTAATTCCTCCTGAATCAGTTCTAACCCACCTATCCCCCTTGTCGCTAAGCTAGCCAGCCTCTAATCACGCGCTGCACCGTGTGATCCTTTCCTAAGTAATACGGGGTTCGGCACTTTCCTCTGGTTCTCAGCCGCCTAACCTGTCAGGAGCAAACTTCTAAAAATATCACTAAAGACCTCAGCTAATTTCTAATCCTCATTTCTATTAAAAAGCCTGCCTGTACCATATGGGCTTCTAGACTTGGGATTTACAGCCTTCCTTAAGAGTGGCTAATCTGTGCAGAACCATTTCCATTGTTATCCGCACACGAACTCCTCCCTTCCCTACCGCAAGCCATCATCGCTATCTCAGCGGCTCTCCAGCCTGCAGAGCATGGAACCTGACAGAGCAGCTGGCAAAGGCGCCAGCCTCCTCCTCTGGCATCGTTCTCCCTCTCGCTCTGGGAGATTGCTGGGGGCCCCGTCCTCGTGGTCCTGGGTAGGTGCTCAAGAGTGGGACTGTGAGTGCAAGAGGGTGGGTGGTTTTCTTTGCACTTTCCCAAGTTCTTTAGCTTTGTATGAACCGCATAAATTGGTCTTTCTATTGAGAGCACCACACACCTTCCTGAAGCTCCGTTTCATGTCACCCGAGCCAGGCACCGCACGAGGAAGCCGGGTACGAGCAGGGAGAGCCAAGCCACGGTAGCGCTTTGTCACTTCCCGCTCTAATTGAACAAATAGTCCTCAGTGCCTTTGCACAAGGTAAATATTATTATATTCATTCAGAGGGTGGCGAAGAGATCAACGTTTCTAAAGTACACCTTGATCTTTGGTGACCTGTTGTAACTCTCGGATCAGCTTCCATTACAGTGAGCTAAGCACTTAAGAGTGCAATCGAGAAACTTCTGATTTAATTGTCTCGCGCAAAACCACGGTCACAGCTGATGCTTGTCTGAGCAAATCAGTAGCCACTTGCAGAAATCCCACAGCTGGGCCAGAATCTCAGGGCACCCCAACCAGCTGAGCTAGTGGATTTATTTTAAAGTTTTGATGCAGCTAAGATCAAGCATTACATTCTAGAGGGCTGGTACAACAGTCTAAGCTGTGATGAGAACAGATTATCTAGAAGTGAAACTGCAAAAGCCAAAGGGCTGAGACGCTCCGGCGTCCTCTGACATGTCCCACGTGGCCTTTTTGTGGCACTCTGCCAAGACGGCCATTTCCCATGGGGGACCCACTGCTGCACCCCAGCACAACAGGGAACTAGTGGCCATAGATTGTTTATGTCACATGGAAACTGTGCCCCGGGTGGCACAGTTGGGGGGGCATCCCCTTTTCCCACAGGCAGCCTCACCCCATCCCCAACTGCTACCCCATTCCCGCACCCTTCCTCAGTCTCAGACCTATCGCTATCGCTATCGCTATCGCTATCGCTATCGCTATCCCTATCCCTATCCCTATCCCTATCCCTATCCCTATCCCTATCCCTATCCCTATCCCTATCCCTATCCCTATCCCTATCCCTATCCC